AGAATTTTCATTTCTAGATCTAGTTCAATATTATAACGCCCCTTCATATCCTTGTATCGTTTCAAAAATCACAGTATCATCTGCTAATGCTCGAGGAGTAAGGACTAGAAGAAGCCATATTTGAGCCACCAAATTTATTGCACATTTAAAATGTAGGGTAAATCTGTAAATTTAACCATGACTTAATTTTTGAGGACCATTGGATATTTTAAATTATAGGGTGGTGGCAAAATAAATCATCAACTAAAAAAAGAAAACATAATGCCCATCACATCCTGTTAAATTTGAACTAGTGCTTGTTACTTTATTTTGAAGTGTAGTTCTCGCATTTCTTTACATCTTCTCTGACCTTATGTTTGTTTCGCTGTGGAAATGAACCCGAAAATATGAAATTAGTGGGATATGAATGATTCACACCTCCGTGCAAGTGAAGTTCCATCGAATTTAATCAAATGAGTTCAATCCCTATGAGTGTGGGACACTTTTTCCGTTCAACAGTTTTAGTGAGAGACTCGTGAAGAGTGGCGACTGGCAACATAGTCAACAATTACCCGTCTTAGATGCCATTCTGACCTCCATTGCCATTATTGATAGTGAGATCATTAGATCTAAGGCGACAAGTATGGGTTAATTATGCAAGTTTCCATCGATGGGTTTGTGTTATTCACTAGCATCATACTTCCTCTCCATGGATGGATCAAGCTAGTTGTGCGATGATATGTTGCGTTCCTTATGGTTTTGATTTTTTTTTTATCTGACTCACCAATGTGTTTATCCTTGGGTTTGGTTCTCATTTGGTTTGATAACATGCTACTTCTCCCTTGGTTTAAGTCGAAGGAATGAATTGATTTAATTTGTACAGATTGATCATATGGGTAGAGTTTCATTGTAATTGGATCTGCCATATATTCATATTCTTGGATCCTTTTTGGTATATATAACTTTGATTGCAATTTTTTAGATTTAAGTTTGATGTGCTTGTCTTGATTTCTATCCATGGCATCAGTGGGTTAGCGGTGACTGATGAGTAAGGAATGAACTAGGGAAAGATTGGGCAAGAGTTTTGTTGTCTTCTTCTTTTCCTTCCCCCTCATAGAATCTGCCTCTATAATTCTTCAAGATACAAAAAGCGAGATTGGGTCATCTAAGAACCCAACTCAAACAAGATCCTTGGCTTCTCGCCTAACCCGTATGTGGACTTCCAACGGTCTATGCAAGAGATGGTGGAGGCATGTCTAGAGCTGATGATGTGAATTCCAACTACACATAAGCTTCTCCCATGGCAAAATGAATGTGGAGAGGGTTAGAGAAGATGTAAAGAAATGTGGGACTCACAACTCAGAATAAAGTAACAACAAACACTGGTTCAGATTTAATGGGAGGTGGTTGGTCATTTATTTACCTTAAGGTAAATCTCACAAATAATCTTTGAATTATATTTATAAGCCACTTGTAATATATTTTACTAGAATTAGGGAAAACATTAAAAATTATTAATTTTTTTTAAAAATTTAATAAGTTGTCAATATTATCTCTATTAAATATTCATATTTTAATAATATACTTTTTCTAATTAACATTTAAAGGGGTGATAAAAGGAGAAACTTGTGATAAAAAATGAAAGAATACAACTATTGGTCGCTATATATTTTTAACATGTTTTGGTATTCGTCTCTCTCTCTCTCAATATATATATATACATAATTATGCTAATTTTGTTGTTGAATTGGCAAAGTTATGATAAATTGGACATTTTATGAGTAAAATAGTTACTGACCTTTTTGCCCTAGCTGTTATGTTTTGTTCATTCTAGAGCTTCACCCGTCGTGTGTTTCAAGATTCTAATTTAATATATTACTTGTTTCTTTTTTCCTTCTACTTATTTTTTATGCAACTCATACTTTTAATAAGTTGGTACACGAAGTAATAGAGCTTTGTGCACTTTAGCCACCGTTATGTCTTTAATGATGAAAACAAATGAAATTTAAGGAACTAGATGCAACAAAAAAAGTAGAGACTCATACCAAAGTATGCTAAAAGTATAGGGTCAAGAGTTGTATTTATCCTAAAAATTAAAATCCAATTATGTATCTTATTAATAAAATAAAAAATTAGACTCTTTGCTTAGCTTTGTTTTATTGCAATTCTCAGCTTGCACACAGCATCAAGTGGAGATATTCGTTTACCACATATCTCCAATGCATGAATTTAGTTTGTATTCAGGCTACTTTAACATGAATCAAGACTTATCTTCATAATATCGCCCCTCTGTAGAGTTGCGTCTTGCTCCAATGTTTTTGTAAGAAGCTTTTCCATGGATTAATTACCTTCATAATATTATATGCTCCAACTTTTATTGCAAGACATCCACAAGCTCGTCATTCATTTTTACTATTTGAAATAAATAAAAACATTCGCAACTTTTAGTGCAACATAAATAATATATTTCTCATGACCATTCTCTTTTCCAGCCTCATTGTCCTTTAGACTTTTTAATTATTTATGTATTGTAAACTATTATTTCTTAGTGTTGTTATTGATCTTTTTATAAAAAATAAAAATCATTTTCTTTCTGCTTTATAAATAAAATTAAAGGAAGTAATGTTTTTTCTTATAAATTTTGTTTTATCACAAAAGACAAGTTAACTGTTTAAGATAATGAGTGAATTTAAAATTTGCTTGTATTTGAAAATGGAAGGAGTACATCTAAGGGTGACGTGGAGCTTGGGTAAAGATTTATGATTCAAACTAGATCTATAAATGCAATAAAAATAAATATTTTTCAATTTAATAATTAATTACCATTAAAAGCAAAAATATAATGAATTAAAATTATTAAATACTTAAGAAACTTTTGAAGCCAGCATGATTCGTAAGAGTCACTTGGTTTGAGGTAAATAAAGAGGTAAAGTTAAACTTTTGATGAAGTAGTGAAATTTTTCTTGCTTATTTTAAAAGTTTAAATTTCTTGGGCAGTTAAGCTTCATTCTTCTCATATAATTAGGGAAGTAATTTTTGGCCCGAAAAAATAGATTTCTTGGAAACTGTTAAAATATACTCCCTCAAGTCCCTATTATAAGCTACTTTCAACTACTTTGCTAGAACTAAGAAATGACAATTAAATCATTAAATTTGTATTAAAATGAAATTTTCCAAGGCTAAAATATACTTTTGATACTTCAATTTTATACAAGATTTTAATTTGATCCATTAAACTTATAAATTATCTTTTTAGTCTTTTAACTCTAATATCGTTAATTTTAAAATGTTATTTTTGTACCAGTCATTATTATTTTAAAAAATTAAAATTAATACGTCAATATTTAAGAATTTTTTATCAATATTTAAAAATTTAATATAAAAAATTTTTATAATAAAACTAACAGTACTAGAGTTAAAAGATATTTTATAAAATTAAGTAAGTAAAATAAAATCTTGTATAAAGTTAAGGGATTAACATTAAAATTTGGCCTTTTTTCAACTTTACCTCTATTGAAAATAGAAAGAAAGATATACAATGTATAATGAGAGAAAAATTTTAAATAGATTAGGTGCATCACGTCCTCCAGAGTCCATCTAATAAAATATAACATTCATATGATATTAAATCATTAAAAATAATGACACATAAGATTTTATTTGATGGAACATGGATGTGCTTGGTCTATTTAAGAATTTTTCATGCAATGAACTATGAAATTAAATTTATAATAGGGATAAAATTTGAAAATAATAATAAAAAAGCTTCCATGTATCTTATACTAAGAACTAAAAAATCATTATATAAGATGCCCTAAAATAATGGAAGAGAGAGTATAAGAAATCACTTATGAACTTAGTTCATAAGGAGGTTAACTTCTCGACAAGTTCAGCAAATTGAACCCATTAAATGAAGCAACTTAGATTTATTACTAAATTTGATCAATTTCAAAACTGATGAGCGTAATATCACTAATTAATAAGTGACAACATTTAAAAACTAAAATTGAAAATTATTCAAATGACAGTTGTATGCATTTAAGCCCCCTAATCTTTCTTTCTTTCTTCCACACTAGAACGGCTATACCCTACTAACACGTAATTAAGCTAAAAATAATGAAACATTTATCAGGCCTCATTAATCACATCATAACTGTTTTAAAGTTTTTTTTTTTTCCCCGCGACTCTCACCTTACGAGTCACTCTCAATTAACTCATTGAAATTAAAAAGGCAATTAACTCATTAAATCTATTTCAAAATTTTAAAAATATTCCAACTTTGACCCTATTAAAAAAGAAAATAAACACAACACTTAGTGTTGTGTTTATTAATTAATAACCCCTTGTATGACTTATATTAAAGACCAATAAATTCTTTAAGAAAACACTCTATAATAGGAATCCAGTCCAATTTTTAAGTCATTTTCACTATTTTAAAGTCATTTTCACTATATTTTAATGTAACAAGAAGTTTTCAACTTTACCCTATTAAATATACATACTTTAAAAATAATATACTCTAATATTTAATAATATTGCTAGTATTTAATAGAGGCTAATTAAAGGGTAAGGTTCTAGCAAAGAAAAAAAAAATAAATAAAAGGGTAAGGGTGGGCACAAATTTAAAAATCATAAAAGTGCCCTATAAAAATAAATACTTCATTTGATCTCTATTATAAGACACCTCTAGGTATCTCACCGAAGCTAAGAAGAGGTGATTAAAATGGAATAAACTTCTAATTTTACCTTTATTTAAATGAAAAAAAATACTAAATATGTATTACATTATCTCTCATAATTAATGAGTTTAGAAAGGGGTATATAATATTAAAAAAATGTTATTAATACCCCATCAAGTTATTTATATTAAGGAGCAATTTTTTTAAATAAAAGTATCTTATAATAAGAATTAGAGGAAACTTTCTTTCCACCCTAGTAAGACAGGAGAATATATATAAAGTGACGAAGCTCCTTATTGAAAACACATCTTGGTGAAACACACATACACATCAAGCACAAAAATGAAGATGATCATTCCCATTATCTTCATCTTTTGCCTTTTCTTTTCATTCTCTTCCTCTGAACCATCTGTGTTTGATTTTTGTGTTGCAGATTTTTCACTGCCTTATGATCCTGCAGGATATTCCTGCAAGAACCCTAAAAACGTGACAGCCAATGATTTTCATGGAACTGTTTTAGGTGTTAAGAGTAACACGGCAAACATTTTCAAAACTGGTGAAACGACAGCGTTCGTTCAACAAATTCCTGGTCTGAATGGTCTAAGTGTTTCAATGGCTCGCGTCGATGTTGAAGCAAATGGTGTTGTACCACTTCACACACATCCTGATGCTACAGAAATTCTTTATGTGATGCAAGGCCAGATGCTTGCTGGATTCATTTCATCAGACAACGTTGTGTATTTGAAAACTCTCAACCCTGGAGATGTTTTTGTGTTTCCTCAAGGTTTATTGCACTTCCAACTCAATGAAGGTAGGTATATTATATTGTTGCAGAAGGTTAGACTTGCAGCATTGATTGCCGAAAGTGGTCACTGAAAGTCCTTTCTTTTTTTCCCCCAATTGCAGTGATTATTAATTGTTGGATTCTCATAAAAGTTAAGGATGAATTAAACTTAGGTTTGAGAAGAGTGAATTAATAATGATAATCAATTCTTTGATAATTTTTTGAGAGAATAACCGTAGCATCTCAAAAGATCAAATTGATAACAATTAGGTCTCTGACAAAAAAATTTAAGAAAAAGAATTACAAATACATCAGTGCAAATAATTTCAAATTGAGAATTACATTTAGAACTTAAATGTCTAATTTATAATTAAAAATCTTGAATTTATAATTATTTAAATTGATATTTATAACTTATTTTTTAGAAAATTTTATTAGGGACTTAACTATCATTGTCCCTAATTTATTTTAGAGATAAGATGTTGTAAATATCAATTCCAATGAGTGCAAAATCAAGAATTTTTATTGTGAATAAAATATTTAATTTTTAAATGTAATTCAAATTTTTGTAATTTTGATTTTTATTTACAACTATATGAATCAATATTTGTAATTTACTTTTTTTTATTTTTTATGAAACCATAACTATTATTAATTCAACATTTTGGCGCATAAATCTCATTCTCATAAAACTAATTAATAAATTGATTTGTACATAACTCCTTTAAATGCACATATTTTTATTAACCTTTAAACTTAACCATTGAGTCCCCTTTATATATAGCTACAAATTTTTGAATTCATACGAATGATTTCTTTATCCTTAACTTGTTTGTCATTTAAATAATGGAGTGTGACACGACACAAAGATTATTATTTGCACAAGTTTAAAATTTTAGGGGGTATTCAAGAGTAAATTGCTTGTTGATTATAATACAACAAAACTCCAAATTTCATACTGTATATATAAGTTATGAAGATAAAGAGTTTAGAGACGATGCATGCATTCTGCATATGCAATATTAATATTATTCTAAAGTTTTTTTTTCTTTGTTGATTTGTATGAATAAGGATAATGAAATTTTTAGTTTTTCAAATTCATCTCAGTTATCAATTTAGTCCTTATTGTTTAAAGAGAAGATAACTAAAGAAAACTTGAAGGAATGAAAGTTTAAGTTTCATTATCTATAAATAAATTATGATTTACAAATTATGAACATTCTTAAATTATGACCATATTCTTTTATTTTCAGGTAGAAGTCTATCAGTGGGAATTGCAGGCTACAGCAGTTCAAACCCTAGAATCCAGATTGTGGACTTCGCACTGTTCCAAAGTAATTTGACCACTCAACTGATAACAGCTGTCACTTTCATTAATATTCTCGAAGCAAAGAGGCTCAAGATCGTTTTTGGAGGCTCTGGATAAAGTATTATGCATATTATATATATATATAAAATAAAATATTTTATGTCGCATATTTTATATAATCTGATCTCGTTGATCGACTTGTTGCATGATCGATCTGGATGTAGTTTGTCTACATTTGGCATGAAATAAAAGTTTCACCTTTATCTCTTATTTTATACTTCCTCTAAATCAAACTACAGGATATTTCTAATTACTTTACGAGGATAAAAATAGTAATTAAGGAGTGATTTGTATACATCTTAAAATGTTAAAAAAAATTATCACTTCTTTTAAAATTAATTCAACTTAATTACCTTTAAGTATAATTTGGATTGATGAATTTAAATTTCAAATTTTAGATTTACAATATCACATTTAAAATCTATATATTTAAAATTCTTTATGTAGGTAGTGTAAGAAATTTTAAAAGTAAATCAGAGATGAGCTAAAATTCAAAACAGAAATGAAATATTAGAAGTGACAATTATATTTCTGTTTTTCAATCAGTGAGAAAAGAGGACAAGAGATCAAACGACGGGCAAGAGTAACAAAGGCATAGAATGTGAAAACATGAAGAAAATGAGATGGTTAAAGTAGATAAAATTTTAAACGATTATAAAGTCCACAATTATGAAATTACAAAGTTATATTAAAAGATGTATAGGCTAAAGTACAAATCTACCCCAAATATTTTTAAAAAGGTGCAATTGATATACTAACATTTTTAAAGACATGATTTTGCTCAACATTTTAAAAAATGAACAACGCTGCCTTGCCATTAATTTATGGGAAAATTTCACTAAGGACCCTCGAACGCAACATAATAAAAAAGAAGACTACTAAATATGTGATATATCACTATAAGCCGGGGGTTACTCATCTGATATTAATTTGGAAAGTAAAATGACAAAGTTGCCTTGTGGAGAGAGAAAATAAATAATAATAAAGCTTGTGGTGGAAGTAAAGAAGCACGGGAATACTCTATTCCTCCCATTTCCCCTCTTTGGCCTTCTCCAACATCACAAGCTGGTAAGTTAACTAATGATTCTATGATTTAATCTCTATGAAAGTGTAATTGGTTTTTGGTATAGTTGATTTGGAGTTGGAAACACAAGTTTGGAAGATTGGATTACACCTATCTTCCCTTCCTTTGACTTGTCTTTTGTCCCCTCATCTATTCTACAACTTTTTTTCTAGTTAGAAAGAAGAGTAAATACGATCTGGTGGTACAGCTTCATCATTAAAAACTACCCGTGATATTCATAACTACTCAACTTCATTTCATTACATTAAATGATAGGTGGTTAGAACATTATAAATGTATATTCTCTTTAAGTTGTGGTAGAAAACTTTTCTGCTTAGCTAAAATTTTTTTCATTTTACAATGTTCATGTAAATATGCTTAATGTACTTGTTTACATTTCCAATTATAAAGTGCTCCTAAGTAATTAAATTTGAATGTTAACATATGCAGAGTCTCATTATAAATGGATACTTGTTCAAAGAAGCAACTGTACAACATCTTCCATGTTAAGGGGGGATTTAAAAGTGTAGGTGGTAGTGTTATTTATAAGGATGGTATTGTACTTGGAAGATAGATAACTAAAGGGCTAACATATGAATGAGTGAGAAGTATCATAGCGAATAATTTATGGCCTGAATGTAAGGATTTTTGTATGAAATACAAAGTCATCCCAGCTGGAGATACATTATTAGATCTTGTCGATGATGTTAGAGTAGATGAAGTAATTAGGGAGAACAAAACTAATGGTCATGTATGCGTTGCACAAACATCCCAGTTGGAGTTCCAAGAGAAGTAAGTTGTCAATTTTAATGCAATTGTTAATTTCCCTCCTTCTGGTTGACATACACTATAAATTTCTTTCATACTTATTGATGGAGCATAATAGAGTTGAATTGCTATTACAAAAATGACTTTTTACAGTGGTTAAAAATGACTTTTTATAGCAGTTAAATAGGTGATGTTGTTACAGGAGATGTAGATTCGGTTATACGATGGTTATAAAAAATACAGATTCTACATCGGCTAACCATAACTGATGTAGAAAATGGATCAACGATTTAAAAATTAAAAACTAGAGCAATTTTTACAGCAATTTCTTTTCCAACCGCTATAGAAACTGGTGTAGAAAGACTTTCTACACCGCTTGTGTTCCAGTCGGTGTAGAAAGTCTATTTTCTACGTCGATTGTGTTCTAGCCGCTGTAGAAAGTTTGCTATTTTATACCAATTTTTACATTAACCGATGTAAAATAGTAATTTCTATACTAGTTATGGTAATAGCCATTGTAAAAAGCATATTTGTTTTAAAAATAAACGTCCATATTTTTAAATTTATCCTACTCTATATACAAAAATTACCACAGCCAAATCAGACAGCACAATTTATTTATAATTTTCAATATAAAATTAAATTAATAACTATCCAAAATTCAAAGTTATCTATAAACTATCTAAAAACTATATATTGAGCTATCCAAAACATTGTGTCAACAAATGTTTTCACAAGTTGTCTACAAATAACAAACTTCTTAAATTGTATGAAACTTTCTACAAAACTCACAAATTCTCCCCAAAATAAGTTTCCTAACGTATACGGATATCTTCAAATTTAGCTTTGGGGAATGGATCCAAATTGTCAAACATCTAAAATATAATTTATAAAAGAGACTTATTACATACTCTCAAATAACATAATAAAATAAAATTCTTAAAAATATATTTACCTCTTTTGTAAATTCAGTCATGGCTAATGTGATAATATTGAGCATATGTCTTATCACATATAGGCCACACAAATTCATCTTTATTGGTTATCTACAGCTTTGTATAAGAAAAAATCATAAGAAATTAATAAAAAATCTTAGTAATTGAACATATTCATAAAGTATAGCATTACCTTTGGCTCGATCCATGTAAGATCCTTGAACTCATGTTGGTGCTTTTGCAAGACCACATTTTGATATGTTTTCATTACTCTATGTTCAAAATCACTAAGTTAGTAACTAAAATATTTAGTGTAAATTATATTAAATATTTTTGCACAAATGTACTTATGAGTCTATCTTCTTCTTCATTTCCTTCCCAAGTTTGTAATGGACGGAACATAAGAAGACAATAATGTTGCTCTTCATTAAAAGAACAAACAACTACCAATGGTCCCTGTAAAATATGATGAGTTAAAGTAAATCTACATCGAAAAAACTATTAATTACAAATTGATCCATGTATAGAGCCATAAAAACATCTTTCTTAACTTCACATATTCTTTGTTAGAGATACTGGGCCCTTAACTCTAGAGTATTCCCTTTCTCTGTTATTTGATATGGGCAAAGGAATCCAAACTTATTACCTTTGCCCGATATGATGCACAAATGATGAAGGTACCTACAACAATACAATTGTGTAAAATCACTAGACTTGATCATTAAGTTAATTTCATTAAAGAAACACAAACTTACATCATAAATAGTTCAATGTGTGGTATGGTAAGCTAACTATTTGACAAAAGTCCAAGAAAATTTTCCTGTTCAATTGTCACATCGTGTCTTTCTTACCCACAACCTCTAGATCCATTTCTAAATCTTTGAGTTTGAATGATGGATCATACACCATTAAGATCATTTGTTGGTGTGGAGTTAACAAGGGTTCTGGAAGTTTCAGGAGATTTGGTGAGAAAAGCTATTATACATAATAAAAAAGAAAGAAATAGTTAGTAAGAAAACATTTTAAGAAAGCTGCCACATAATAAAATTGCATACCACAGTTTGAACCATATTCACAAGTCTTTTAGGCCACAGGATAAAATTGCCAACATCTTCTGCTACAGTCTTCACCTTATTAGTAGGGAATAGAACCAACGCGTTTGGCACTTTTGGATCTTCAACCACTACTCTTACTTGATAATCTTGAATTTGCTTATGGTGGATGGTTAACCCTAAGTTGTAAATGCTACCAAGAGCAACCAAGCGTCTATCAGGATCTTCTAGAAATATCTCACATGGTTCACCAATGTTGTCATTAGAAGGACCCTCTAACACACGCTCAAAAACATTACTCCCTTTTGTGCTATGAAATCCAAGAGACGTATGAACTAGTTTAGTAGCCATCTCTGTCATGAGCTCATCATGCTCATCATCTCCTCCTTCATTTGTAAAAGTTGGGCTACGAATAAAGCTTCAAACTCTTCTTCAATCTGCTATCTCACAATGGATATCACTGTTTCAAGCTCTTCTCTAGTCACTACACCTCCTGAGTTGGGGCGTAAAGGTGCTCCAAAGTAGTCTCTTATGCCCACACTATGTCCAATCCCCCTCACACAACCCAGATACTCTGGTTTTCCTATTGCAACCATCAAGATATCATTTCTGCCCTTTAGAATGAAACTTTCTTAGGCTTGTTACTCCTTAAAAGCATCCTATAACATAAAAATAACAATCTTAATTAATATTATATACAATTGTATAGAGATTTAAAGGGACAAGAAATAATAATATTACTTACAATCCTCTCAGCAATCTCGTATGCCATCTTACTTGTATAGCCTTTTTTGCCTCCTTTTTTGTATTAGTGTCCATATCTCCATTTCTCCTCTCGGGAGATAGGGGATGGTAGAGAAAGGAGTATGGAAGAATTGGACTTAGCTTTTTCTTCCTCTTCTTCTATTTCTCCACCATCAATATATTATCAGCCCTAGCATAATCCCCACGAGATAGCGTGTGGGGGCATTGATTCTATCGAGCAATTTCCTGCCCTTTAGCTCATTTTTCCTAGTAAAAAAATGATTTTTAAATTTTATAGTTGAAGTAAAACTAAACAAAACTTAAATCAATTAGAAATCATTAGACCAAAGCTTTTTTAGAAGTTCGAATCCTAACAAATTCTTGCCAAGTATCTTCATCAAGGAAATGATATGTGTCGAGAGGATTAGGACGAGCTTGACCTTCTGGCACCTTAATATGGATATATCTCCTAGCAAGATCAGTCTTGAAATTTCT